CGTCACCCTGATCACTTTGGTATATATAACCCTATATCTGACTCTTTTAGTTTTAGGACTTACAAACAACCGTTATGTGAACAAAACTATAATACCCTCTTTAGCAACTTTGGTGCGAGAGTATAAAAATTAGAGCTTTGATGAATTTTAAAATTTGTATATCATATTGGTATATACCTTTTCAATTGATGCATCAAAGCGTGTTTTAGGATAATGATTTAAAACAAGTCATGAGAGCTTTCATTAAAATATTTAAACTTAGAGCTTTCATAAAATAGCACGCGTGAATTATAAAATTTATATATCATATTTATATATATCTTTGCCATTAACGAATACAAGCGTATTTTTATCATAATAATAAATATGCCTGAGAGCTTTCACTAAAAAATCTCAAATTGATATTGCTTATACTTAATGAGCTTTTGTAAAAGCTCGAAGCTTATAAATATATAAATTATCATATAGTGTAGTTAATCGAAAAGCTTAATTACTTTATTTGACAAATAAAATCACTACAGCTTTCACCGAAAAACTAGAGCTATCATAAAAGTTATATGCTTTAATGGGTAGTGATTTACGATTTTTGAAGCTTTAAAGGATTAATATACCCATACAGCTAACAAAATGAAAAAAGCTGGGAGCTTTCAATGAAAATATTTTGCATTAAAATAATATGTAAACTTTATGTATATAGGTTTCATATATTTAGAAGAAGTGTGCAAATTTTTCGAAAAGCGTAGACGCACGCTATAGCTTAAAAGAACTGGCGATTTCACAAAATGATTATTTATACAGATTTTCGTTTTTGTTTTTGTTATAATTTTTTGGTATAATGAGGGTTTATGTCCATGAAAAGTCATTGAGCTTTCACGAATAATTCTTCAGAGAGCAAATGCATACACATACTCAAATTCAAAAGCGTGAAGAAGTAACGAAAGTTTAATACAAATTTTACAGGATATAGTTATAGAAAACAGCAAAGAAATATAAAAACTGACTATAGACTTGACAGTCTACCAGGAAGGCGCTATGGAATTTGACTAATAACTTAATTATTAAACGTGCAATTAATCCTAATAAAAATATAATAAAATCTGCCAATTAAATTAAAGGAATGCTTTCGAATTTGCGAATAATATTCTAAATCAGTTACATAAATATGATACTAATTCGCTTCATATGTTCCTTGTGACAGCTTGACAGCTGACAGCTGTCAGATATAATTGTTTTAAGTATGCAACTCAATTTCGC